AGATATTAAATAATAATTAAATTAAATATTTAATAAAATATTATCAAAGTTACATTTTTATGTAATTTAAAAAATATTTTTTTAATATTTACATTTGTATGAAATAAAATAAGCATAAATATAACGGCGCTTATATAATAAGCTCAAAAAATAAGCTAGCTTATGTTTATCAAACATGACTTTTATAATATTATTTCGAATAAATTTGTTCAATTCTTTTTCCTATTGGTAACTTTAGGGAGTGTTTGGTTTAAGGTATTAAACAGTAATCAACGAGAATGAAAATAAAAGAAACTGTTTGGTTTTCTATAATATAATGGATTCATTTTCCCATAAGCTCAAAATTTCATTCTTTATCATTTTCATTATTCAGCATGAACCAAACAGACTCTTAGTTTGTATTGACAAGTTTTTTTGTTTTTACCAGATTACATTTAAAAGCGTTATGTTTTTATGTAACAAACGTAACTAATATTCATTTATGGTTGAAAGCATTCTGCTTTTGAAAAAAATGATAAAAGCTACGATTAGCCATAGTATTCAGATAAAGTGTGTTTAGGTATTCACACCATTCTCAGATTCATGCATCTAGTTATTTTCGGTGTGTCGACATTAAATGAACATGTGTTTAATGGAACGAAATAAATTGGAAACTTATGTTTCGTTTACTAGAAACACTTCATCAAATGAAAATATGAAATATCTTAGAAATCAGATTACATAACCCGATAAAATCAACCCAAGTTCAGCTTGTTGAATTATGACTTTAAGATGCTACAGTTTTAAACTCGGTAATAGTTGTTTTATTGAGGGGAGGATGGAGATAGGGATGATGATTTACCCCGACATGGTGGGGAACCCGACTCACCCGACCTGAACGGGGATGGGGATTCTCCGCTAAACCTGGACCGGGGATCTTGGGTAGACTCAAATTGGGGTTGGGGTTGGGGCCACATAACTTATCCCCCCGACCAGCCCCGTACCTGGTATATAATTTTTTTGATATGTTTTATACAATATATATGTGTATATATATAGGGTTAAATGCATGAAATAGCAACCTACTTTCACAAAATTTATTATTATAGCATTCTACTTTTGTTTTTCTTTATTACAGCAATGTACTTTCAAATTATTTTTTATTAAGRCATTGTACYTTAAAAAATCTACCCATAATAGCAATGGGTAACCTGTTACCTTTTAAACCGGTTAACCCTTTGACTTTTTTGCTTGTGTGACTTTAATGAGGTGATGTGGATGATACATCATTTTGATGACTTAACTAAAATTAAAATAAAAACATATTTCAAATTATTATTAGTGATTTTTATTTTTCATTGCTATTATCTAAAAAAACATTTAATTTTTTTTTTACTTTTTCTTATTAAGTTGCATTTAAATTAAATATTCTTAGAGTAAAATATTTATTAAATAAATATGCAACATTATTTTCGAGATATATTTTATTTGTAAAAAAGACAACTTTTCCTATTTTATGTTGTTCAAATAAATACATATCTTTTAAAGCTCTCTTTAAAATATTAACGAAATAAATTGTTATCTACAATTTTTTAATATTGTTATATTAATAAATACTTCAAAAAATCTAATTAATTTAATATATTTATGCGTCAAGTAAAAAGTTTTTAAACAAATATAATATATTCGTCAAGTAAAGATAATATTTTTTGGTAAAAAAAGAACTATTCTTATTTTCCTTTTTTCAAAAAACACATATTTTTTTAAAAAATATTAGCGAGATAAGTTGTGTTCTACTAGTTTTATTGATATTGGTATATTAATGAATAATTTAGAATTTTTTTAATTCATTTAATACATTTATTAAAAAAACATGTAAAATATCTAAATATTAAAATTAAAAATACAATGTTTAATAAGAACTAGTAGATGATATAATAAAATAATTTTGAAAGTACAATGATGTAGTAAGAAAGTCACATCACTATAGTACATGTGGACAGCCTACGTGGACAATGAGGTGGCATGAAAACCTAGTATAATGGATAAATTTAAATCAAAAGGTTACCCAATGCTATAATGGGTAAATTTTTCAAAGTACAATGTCTAAATAAAAAATAATTTGAAAGTACATTGCTGTAATAAGAAAAACTGAAAGTACAATGCTATAATAAAGAAATTTATAAAAGTAGATTGCTATTTTATGCATTTTGCCATATATATATATATATATATATATATTTTATTTTCTAAAATTAGATCTTGACTCAAGACGAGGATCAGAGTTTGACCAGAAAATAAACCGGGACCGGGGCCATTCATAGAAACCGGGCCCGGAACCAGGGATTAGAAAACTCGCACCATCCTCGTCCCGTTGCCATGCCTAGATGGAGACGTAGATGGTGAAATGGGGGGGGGGGGGGAGACGATTCTCTATGTTAGGTTTCTTTTTGAGTTAAGTTCGATTTTGGTTCTTAACATTTGTAATTTTCAATGAGTATGTCTATAAACTTCAAAAAATCATATTTGGTCCATCACATTTATCAATTTCTTACGGTTTTGGTCTTTATGTCTAACGTTCGTTAAGTTTTTTCGTTAATTCCAGTTAAAGAAAGGGTATTTTAGTCATTTTTACTATTTTTTTCAATTTTCTATTAAAATAAAAAATATATTATATTTTAAATTTCAAATTGTAAAACAAAAAAGAAAGAAAAAGGATAACCACCACTTTTCG